AATCTTTTACCAGCTGCCCCTGGAAGGGGCTTTAGTCACTATTTCTGAGTAGATGAGCCCAGTCTACAGAGCTAGTGCTGCCTTTCCTCCCAAGCACCAGTCTTACATTTCCTGTGCACCTGGAGGTATCGCCACATACACCTCCTCAGCCATCCTCCAGATCATCATGTCTGAGATGGAATTCATCTCTCCTCCCCAAAGCCGATCCCCCATGTTCTCTGTCTTACTGAAGGTCCCCTCCATCCTCTTACCCACCTTGTTCAAATGTCATCCTGTCTCCTTCACCTTCCACATTTAATTATTGGCCAAGTTCTAGTCAACTCCTAGCTGCCCCTTCCCTTCCATCCACACTGCCACAGTTCTTCATCACCTCTTGCCTAAACTATTGCCATGGCCTCCTGGTTGTTTCTAATTCTTCCACCTCTGCCCCTTCTAAGGTGTCCTTTGATCACAGCCAGCTCAGAAGCGCAGGACCCATCACACTACTTCTGCTGCTCAGCTCTGGCTGTGGGCCTTGGCCTGCCTCTGACCCAGGCACACATTAGGGCTGGGACCAAAGCCCAAGCTAGTCATAAAATGTTCCTTCCCCATGAGGAGGGGAATGGGTGAACTTTGGGTTGAGTCCCCAGATGCTTCACCAGGCAGGGAAGCCTAGTAAACTGCCTTGATGTGGCTTTTACTGCCTCCACACATAGCCCCAGTCCACCGTCCACCTCATCTCAGGGCATCTCATCCCCACCTCCCAACGGCCCCCAAACACACATACAACATCCATTTCCATCTTCCAGTCACACTCACCCAGCTCCTCTCAGATGTTCTCCCCAGTCTCTGCTTTTTGGAAGTTCTGGGAGGACAGGAATTTTTGTCATTTTGTTCATTGCTAGCATTCAGAAGAGATGCTTGATATCACGTCCTCCGTAATGCCCTCCCCTCGTATTCTAAGTCAGATCATTCCCTGTTGCCCATCCCCAGGTCATTCTGTTTGTGCCTTTTACCTCCATTCTAGTGCCTTCTGCCCTGTATCATCTTTATGTCTTTCTGTCCTGACCAACCCCTACAGTTAGACCTCGAGAGGGCAGAAAGATGTCTTTATCATCTTTACAGCTCTGTGGCGTCTAGTTTGTGTTTTGTGCTCAGTGATGCTCTCCACTCGATAAACTTGGTTCAGCCTGATAGAAAGAAATGCCTTATGGTGTTAAGCCCCTTTCCTGTTGACACGAGATTGCCAGCTGCTAGTCTTACATGTCTTTGGCTTGGCACAGAGCTACATGTAAAGCAGACTCTCCGCAAATCTGTGTTGACTTGTTGATTGTTCAAGTTTTAGACCAAGTTGATGGTCGGGCTCAGAGTCATTTTATTTCTCTTTCTTCCTCACTGCCTGTCAGCACCAGACACTCCCGAAAAGATAACACGTTAGGATTTTTGCATCCTTGAACCTGCTCTCCTGCATCATCTCCTCCCCCAACTCCACCCCCAACTCTTCTAGCCCTTTTTTGTCAGTGCCTTTTGTGTTACTGGAATCCAAGACATGTGTTAGCTCCTTGGTTCCCATGGTAACCAAAAATCTTTGTTAGGAATGCTGAGCTCTGATTTGGGGTGAGATAAAATACAGTGCCCCCAGGAGAGCTTCTTTGAAGGTGGAGACTGAGAGACTTGTTAACAGGCTTACAAAACTAATATGTAGACTTCATGTTTATTTCCTTTGAGGAGCTCAGGGCGCTTTACGAGCATGCCTTAACTCACACTCACACATGCTCGTGAATTTGGAGAGCTGTGGGCACGGTGTTGTTACCCTCCGTGTACAGCCTGGAAGCTGAGGCAGGGAGGAATGCGGCAGCTTGTCCCAGAACACAAGCCAGGCAGCCAGGGCGGGGCTTCCTGCATTCATCAGGGTTATGTGCCTGGAAGGATTTGGTCCCTGGCTTGTTCATGCAGTTCTGTGACGTGGTTAGATCGCCAGGAAGGAGAACACATGTATCTGTTCCATAGCCCACCCAGCTTTGCTTATTTCTAGTAGAAAGCCCCCAGGATGAAGCAATAGGGAAAGTTTTATGCTCATTACCAGCATGTCAGTCCACCAGAGGATAAGTATAAAGTTAGGTGTTTTTCCCCAATAATGAACTTAGAAATCCCCGAGTGATGGCATTCTCCAAATCACTCCCTGCCTGGCTCGTACTTCCCAGGCAGCTCCTTTCCAGGGTCCTTTGCCAAGTTCTCCTCCTTCCCACCACTTGGGAACTAGGACTCCCAAAAGCAGTTTACTGATTCTCTCAACTCCGGTTCTTTCCCAAGTCTAAGGAGATTTTCACAGTGACTACCACACACTTAGGTACACAATAATTGTTGCATGAATGTATTTCACAAAGGCAACTTCATATCAGCGCACCCCAAACCAAATTGTTAACCCTCCCCAACTCTCCTTCCAAAGTGCCTCTTCATCCTGGAACCTCTTATCTGGCTAGTGGCATCAATATATCCAGAGGCTTAACTGGAAGCCCTGGAGAATCCCCAGCTCCCCTCTTCCCATCCCCGACTCCACATCCAGGCACCTCTCAAGGTTGCCTTTGTCCAGGCCTTCATCATCTCACACTGGACTATTCCTGGCCTCCAGTGACTCCATTTCTCCTGTCCCTCCATTACTAACAGAGGTCTCTCTCCAAAATATAATCTGATCATATCAGCCTCTTACTTTAAAACCCCTTCGAAAGTCTACCTTCATCTAGAGTCAGGTTCAAAGTCCTTAGCATGGCATTCAAGACCCTTCACAGTGTGCCTCCAGTCAGCCCACTGTTCCTGTTTGAATTCCCACCACTGTCCCCTTAGTATGTATTTCAGGTGTTTATTATATGAGTATGTGAATGAAGAGGCAAACAGACCTAAGTGCTACCACCTTTAGGTCTATCAACCTAAAAAAAGATAGTAACTTTTGTTGTTTATCCCAGAATTGTTAATTTAGCCCAGGAGTCTAATATGTGTCAGGCATCGTGTTAGGTGCTCAGGATACACCAGTGGACAAAAAGTGGCAAAGGTCCTTGCCTCCATAAAGCCTGTATTCTACCAGGGAACTCAGCCCGTAAGCAATGAACACAATAAGTAAAGAAAAAGATCAGAGGAAGAAGGAAGGGGGAGGGGAGAGGGTTTGTAAGAGTAAACAGGATTTCGAGATTAGGCCTCGAGAGACAGTGAGACAGCTGATTGAGCCAGTTCTTTCTTATAGGCTCTCCCATGCTCATGTACTACTTTAGGTTAGTGTCATGCCCCTCACCTCCGGAGTCAGGGAATCGAATGTCAGTTCTGAGCAAATTGTGAAGTAATAATAACAGCTCTGTGACAGGCACTGGTGTGAGCAGTTTGCAGTCTTTCCTCCTTTTAAGCTTTATAGTGGCCTCCTGAGATTTATGTCATCCCTATTTAAGATGAAGGACCTGAAGATCAGAGAAATTAAAGCATTTGCCCAAGCCCATGAGCTAGAAAGTGGCAGAGGTCAGAGTTGAGCACACAGCTAGCCATTTGCCTCCAACTGACAAATGAAGACAGTTGAGAAGCACTCCTGTGGATGTTCCCAAAACCAGTAGCTGAGAGAGCCAACATCATCCATTTTCACAAGAGAACAATTTAGAATCACAGCATGAGAGGGGCTACAGAGAGCCCTCAGCACCTGTTCCCACATCCAGCATCTGATTATTTTCACACAGGTGGTTCTCAATCTCTAGACATTCTTTGAAACTAATTCCAGTGTCTGGCCGGCTTTTATTGCCAGAAAAATACTTCCTTAATGCTCATCCTCTGTCTACGAATCCAGTTTCCTCTCATTTGAGCCTCAATGAAGCTAGAGCTCAACGTTCATCTGCCTTATAATTTTTCTTCGATATATTTGAAGAGCCAAACCTCCTCTATTCCAAATTGGTCTCAGCTCTGTCCACATTCTGTAGCTGTTGTCTAGACATTATAATAACCAATCTCTTAAAGATGAAATCCTGGGTGTTTTCACGTCAATAGCCCTGTAATCAACGTGCTGGATGCTCTCAAGCATGACTAACCACCATAAAAGAGCAAAGTGTGAGTCACAGAACCCCACCAAAAATAATGCTTTTGGCCTGATTCGGATTCAGACTTCTGAGTCATAAAGCTCATTAGAAATGGGAATGTATTTGACTCTAATAAAGATTTTTAGGGCAACACAGATTTAGAGTGGTTTATTTAGGGTAGGCCACAGGATGAATTTTGGAGCATAGGCTGGTGACATGAGGAGAGAATAGTAATCTTGAAAAGAGAGGCTTTATTGCTTTCCTGTTCCCACCTTCTGCTATCAGGAGAAAAGGCCTGATTTAGGAAAAGTGTCTTTATTTACTAGAAAAAGAAGGCTTTCGTGATTTGAGCAGGGGAAGGGATTTATTAGAAGTAAGTTCTTTATTTGGGGCATGCTTAAAGCTTGCCTAGGGGCCCTCCCAGAGTTGCCTCAGTTCCCTGCCTTTGGCAGCTGTGATTCTGAACAAAGCTGCTGCTTCTCAGCCCTGATGTGCTCACTCATTAGAAAACCGCTCTGCTGTGGGAGAAGCGTCGCCTGGGCCTGCACCCTGACCTCCCTTCCTCCTTCCCCAGCTGGAGGCAGGGCCCAGAAGAGGGCAGTAGAGGGAGCTAGAGACAACGGTGTGCCTTGGGGACGGCAGCCGCCACCTCTGGGAAATTCAGAGGGAAAGCGGAGCTCAAGTTTCGCATGGGACTACTGTGTGTCAGGCTCTGCACTGGAGTTTTTCAATCTCTTATCTCACTTAATGCTCATAACAACCTTGGAGGGAAAAGAAAACATCCTAGTTTTTAAAATGAGGATCTGAGGCTCAGAGAGGTCAAATCTACCCGTCTAGGAAGTGGTGGGTTCACAATCTCACCACGATAACGTGATTGTCATAATAAGCGTGGTGAGTGACCTTTTTTGAAAGATCCCCCTCCCTCGGAGACCATGTCCTTTCTTAACCAGCCCCTTGCTCTTGCACCCTCAGGCAGTTTGGGGGTTATGCCAAGGAAGCTGACTACGTAGCCCAAGCTGCCCAGCTGCGCACCGCCCTGGAGGGCACAGCCACTTACCGGAGTGACATCTACTTCTGCACTGGGTATGACCCGCCTATGAAGCCCTATGGACGTCGCAATGAGGTCTGGCTGGTGAAGACCTGAGTCACTCATTGAGCCAGCACTTCCAGGATGTGTGCTTTGTCCCCTGACTGGGCGGGCAGGAGGGGCTTCGAACTGCAACTTCAGCTCAACCAATTTCAAAGCCAGTTACTGCCAGTCCCCTGAAATAAACATGTTCGATACACTAGGGCTTTTTTTCTCCTGGTGGGAAATACAGCGGAGATAGGCCGCCTCCCTCTCATTGATTTAGAACGTTCTATTGTACACCAGGAAAACCCCAGCAGCATTTTCCCAGCTACCTGGGTCTCAAAAAACTGATATTTTAAAATTGTTGAATCTGTATTTTTGTAATTGAGGGGAAATGTAATTTGTGTGCAATCTTTCATCTGCAATTCTTGTAAGAGCCTTGTCTAAAAAGAAACTGAAAATAAAGTTCTTTGACTTAAACAGCTGAGATAAATCCTAAGTATAATTATTTCCAGATTCTACCATTCTTGGTTGCCAGAGGGGAAGGGATTAAAGGGATGGGTGAAAAAGGAAAGGATTATGTAAAAATTGGTAGTTACAAAATAGTCACGGAGATGTAAAGTACAGCATAGGGAATATAGTCAATAATATTGTAATAACTATATGGTGCCAGGTGGGTACTTGAAATATCGGGAAGAACACTTTGTAAGTTATATGATTGTATAGCCACTATGCTGTACACCTGAAACCAATACAAAATGATATTGAAAGTAAACTAATTGAAAAATAAAAATTAAAAAAATATTCTACCATGTTATAGATAATACAGTTATGAGTATTACTGATGGTGTTCATTGTGGCAAGAATCCTGTATTGAGAGTTCCTAAGTCCATCAGAATATAAACCCAAAGATCCTAGGGCATGCTTGAAGTCTCTAAATCATAGATATTTACGTGACTGTGCTGTAGTGATTCCACAATCATCAGTGGGGGGTCCTATATGCAGCCAAAAAAGTAGCCAGAGGAGAAAACTTATCTCACAGACATACAACCAGGAAATTTGCCTGGAGGATGTTTTTGGGGTAATGAGATGAGATTAGAAAAAGCTGGGGTCCAGTATCATTAACTAGAGAGGACAGAAATGAAAGAAACAATCTGTAGTTTGGCTTGAGGAGAAGGGGACCCGAGGCGGTGAAAGAGGCAAGGGGGTGTGAGCGAGTGAGGACAGAAGGGGGTCACAGGGCTCATGGAGGGTTCACTGATCTCTCAGGGTCACCAGGCCAGCCTGTGGACAGTCCTCCCTAGAGCAGCTGGGATGGTTTTCCAGAGGACCTACCTCAGCACCCCTCTGCAGATTACTGCTCGAGTAGTGAGGGCTCCACAGGGTGCTCACAAGGGAACAAGTAAAAACAAGCTTTAATCCTCACCAGAAAGGGTTGTCATTGGGAACACAGTGGAGTTTGCTAAAGAGAGGAATGGGATCTATGTCATCACCAATCCTGGTGCTGTTCAGAGCAGCGGCCATGCCTGGTTCTGAAGGTCAGTGGGGAAGCACACCGGCGGCGAGCCTCGACCACTGCAGACTCCATGCCAGGTGCCTTACATCCGCCCTGTATAGTCCACATACACGGTCTGAGAGGGAGGTGCTGTCATGAACCCCACACACAGATGAGGGGGCTGAGGGTCCCATAGGCCCACACACCAGACTCGGGGCCAGAAGTGCAGCCACAGGGAGCCTTAGGTCATGTCAAGGAGTTTGAATTTTATCCTAAGAAAAATGGCAAGTCAATGGCTTTGAGCAGGAACATGATACCATCATGTTTGAGAGGGAAAATTCTGTCTTCAGTGTGGAAAACGGATTGGAAGTGGATGCCACAGGAGGCCAATCACAAGACTCCAAGTAAAAGTTGATGGAGGACTCAGTTAGGGTCATGGCGTGGGGATGGGGAGAAGTGGACAGTTTGGAAAGAGAAATACGATCAATAGGACTTTGTGAGCAGCAGGTGAGTGAGATAAGGGAGAAGGGGTCAAGTACAGTGCCCAGGATGGGGCTGCCACTCTGAGTAGGGAGCACAGGCAAGAAGCAGGTTGACCAGGGAACAGTGTCCACAAGAGGGTATTTAGGCCTGTGGTTCATCCAAGTGACACTGTCTCATGCGCAGTTGGAAGTGTCTGTTGCTAAAAAGAGAAACCTGACCTAAAGATATATAAGGGTGATGTCATAAATATACAGATGGTGTGGATGAATTATGGACTCTGCCAGGAAAAGGCTTTGGAGTAAAGAGAGAAGAGAGCCTAGGTAAGAATCTGGAGGAACCTCAATGTTTAGAGGAGAACTGAGGAAAGGAGTCTGACAAAGATCGAAAAGAAACAACCAGTGGTATAGGAGGAAAATCAGAAAATCAAAAAGAAAAAGGTGACCAGGAGTGTTAACCTCCATCATTAATTAGATGCCATGAGGCAAGTCCTAAATGATCCTGAGTCTGTCTCCACTGGCACCATCCTAGGACACTTGGCCATCTTTCTTCCCTGGACTCCTGCAGCAGCCTCTTAACTGGCCTCCACATCTCCACTCTCACCTTCCTTTACTCCATTTTCTACCAAACACCCAGAGAGATCATTGCTTAAAGACTCACTTTGCCCTTAGACTAAAAGGTAAACTCCATTATATGGCCTGCCAGGCCTTGTGGGATTTGGCCCCTGACCACTTCTCTAATTCCTGTCTTTCGAATCTCTCCCTTACTATCCCCCAGCCACAGTGAGCTTGTACTTCCTTAACTAGGAGCACTAAGCTCTCTTGGCCCTAGGGCCTTTGCATTGGCTGTTAGTTCGGCCTGGAACCCTTTTTACCTCCTTTTCAAATGGTTCTTCTCATCCTACAGGCCCTAACTTAACCCCCTCCTCCTCAAAGAGACCTTCCGTGGCCCCTAGATCTAAAGTAAGGCCCCCCTAGAGTTCTCTCACATAGCATTATATTTTTTTATTTCCTTCATAACACAAACCACCATTTATCATTTCTGGACTTACTTCCTTTTTTTCTGTCTCTCACACTTGATTATATTGGATAAGAAGGAGCCCCATACCTGCCTTGTTCTTCATTACACTCCCAGCACCTAGCTCAGGGTCATATATCATTAGGAATGAATTAAGCAGTAATAGAAAACTGAACCAACAGAAGCTTAAACTAATAAGGTTTTATTTTCTTGCATAGCAAGAAACCTAGGGATAGGTTTAGTGGCTCCATAGTTACATCTCTGCACTTGCCATGCTCTTTCCTTCTTGGCTGCAAGATGGCTGGCAGGGCTCCTGCCATCTCACCCATGTTCAAGGCAGGAAAAAGGGGAGAGGGGGGAAAAGCTGTATCAGTTGCATCTGTCTCATTTTTAAAGAAACAAAAGAGTTCCCAGAAGTCCCCCCAATAGATTCCCTCTTACCTTTAATGGGCCAAAACTGACATTCAGGGACCCCATGCCTGCAATGGAGATGGGAAAGTGTATGTGTTTGGCTTTCCAGCCTCTCTAGAGGGGAGCAGCAAAGGCAAATGATATTCAGAATGGCTTTAGGGCAGTTAATCTACAGTACTTTCTGCAGTGGGACAATAAGTAGGTATGTACACCTGGAGTAAGAATTTGGGAAGTTGAGAAGTGGGGGATAACTGGAGAGACTGACTGAGGCCAGATTGCACAGAACCTTAAGGGTTTTAATTCTACAATCTCACTTCTGAGCCAGTGCAAATAGATCAGGAGCATGGTGCAAGCTCTCTTCCCAGGGTCTCCTGCTTCCCCCATCACCCCTCTCTCCCCATTTAAAAATCCAAAGCAGTGGAGCGTTCTGAAGGCGAAAAAGGAAGTGGTTGCCAACCACCACCACCCCCCATGAGGACATAGGGGTGGCTGGATGGTGTGGATATAGTGATTAAGAAAAAAGAGGGACAGGAGCTAAGGAAATAAGTTGTTTTTCCTCATTCTGGATTCAGTAATGAAAAACAACCACAGAAACCAGGGTTGCTAATTGCCAATTTATGGACTAGAAAAGCAATCTCTCTTCTTTACCCCAACCCGCTCTTTTGTCACTATCTTTCCCAAAATAGATGGCCCTATCTCACTCCTCCTCTCCCTAGGGTCTGGAGTAGAGCATCTGGCCAATTTCTTTAGATTGCTGTATAATTAAGTTGGAAAACAATCAACAGTAGAGTACAGATATTAACAAATATCCAAACTGTGCTCTGAGTTTAGTGCTCAGGGTGGCAGGCTTAAGGCTGCAGCCTCTCTGCAACTGCTTATATAAGAAGGTTCTGCCTTCTGCCTAAAGGCATCTTCCTGTGATGTTAATCCCCTTGTACATTTTGTGAGCAACACCCAATAAACTTTGTCCTGCGTGCAGCACAACACAATACCACACTCTCCTGCTCCTGTGAGTGTTTAAGGGCCATCAGGTGAGCTCAGGGAGTTGGCCACCACTTGTTTAAGGAAGACCTCCCTCACTTACATTTGGCTTCTCCACTCCTGAGTAATGTCACTTTGATCTTTGAGCCCTGTAATTAAAGCTTCGCAGTATGCCACATTGACCACTATTTATCTGGTTGAATGCCATGGATTTTTGCCTTTGAATCTATATTCTTGCTTAGCTCTAGTTTTTTTTCTTTAGAAATATTTTATTTCTATGGCCACCATTATTCTAGGAATTTGGGGAAGCACCCAAGCAATATCCAGAAATTCAGAATCAAGAATCAATTCATGTCAGGCGGACATGCCAGAGCGGACTGAAGGAGTGGTAGGAACTGGTGTGGGCTGTGTAGAGCTATCTCAACATCAAACTTCAGGTAGAACTTGAATTAACTTTTCCCTGGCAATGAATTAATTAGACTTTTATCAAAAAGTCATTTGATGAGTGGGCTCAAGCCCCAGCCTCTTCTCATATCATGCCTCATCTTCTCTCCCGGGTTCCTTAGTAGCATGAGAATAAAGCGCCGGTTCCCCTAAGGCACCCCCACTTCCCCGTCAAGCCTCGGCTCACACTGCCCCGGCACTGACCTCTACCCATCCCTCTGGCCTTTGAGGTCTTCCAGTCCCTCCAGTTACACCCCTCTCCTCTGTGACTTATGGTCCCCACATCACCCCCATAGGATAAGAATATGTGCACGGTAGCTGCTCAGTCTTATTAATGTAGATTAGTTTCAAAACTTATTTTTAAAAAAATAAGAGATGTTGATAGCTCACATTTACTGAGCATTCACCATGTCCCAGGCACTATGCAAACTCGCTCCAAGAACTGCCTTATTTACTTTACACAACAGCCCTATGAGGAGTCCCAGACACTGTCCTCTCTACCCCATTTACAGATGAACTGGAGCAGCTCAGCGGGTTCATTAACATGTTCCAGGCTCCACAGATGGTACGTGACAAAGCCAGAATTTTAACTCCAGGTTTCTTGTCTGGCAAAAAATGAAATGAGGCAGAATTTGACTCTACATGTGAGAACACTGGGT